ATCTTACCACCCAAATGGGATAGCAGATATTTAAGAAGTTCGAACAAGGAGAGACGACAACCACGAAATTAGGTACTAGCTTTTGGGGAGAGCATTGTTGATTTTAAAGTCTCTAGCCTGCCTTCTGGATTACGGATGAGCGCGGGTAAATTCATCAACACGTATAACTTCCCATGTTTACGGGTGTTTCTTAATGAAATTTTTATTGTTAGACTATACAATTTTATAACAAGACGATCTAAGATCGTAAGTCTGGCTACAAGTAGACGCTTGAACAAATACGTAAAAGCTGAATACAGTAAACAAAAACACTCCCTGTTTCAAATTTCGAAACTTTTTACTTGTTTACGTTTCCAGAAAGCTTTTAAAACGGCAGCCGGCTGTTATTTTGAACCCTGAAGATACTGAATACCGGAAAACAGTGTAGATCAGAGTATTCAATCATGATTGCTTACAGGGCTGATAACTGACTCATCTTTCAGGCTGATAAAAGAAATGATAATCGAGTGACACTGCCACCTGCCAAAAAAATTATTACGTTTGTAAAGATTCCCGCTTTCAAAGATTCCTCATTTTGAAGATTCCCGCTTTTAGAGATTCCCCGTTTTAAAAAACAAAAACGGGGCAAAAACGTTTACTTTACGTTTCCTGTTTATCATAAAAGGGTCGCTTGCCACTCGTTTGAGTATGTTTTCGAAAATAGATGCTTATTTCGAATAATTAAATCAAATATTAGAATGAAGATAACCTATGAATGAATACAGACCAATTTGAATGTGATGTGTTCTAACGCGGGGTTTCTATCTCTATTCTTTTGTTATAACATGATACGTTCTTACCTTACAGAGAAAAATTCAACGTATTTGATATCAAAAGCGTGGTGATCTCCATCTCCCTCTTTGTCTTTGTTTTGATGAATCACTTTTGTTCTCGACGCCAGATATTGTAGTATTGGAAGACACACAACAAGCCTCCAACTACCCGGGGAAAGTGAGAGTTTCGACTCCTCATCGCTCTGAACCTATGTTTTCGCTACCCAAGCATGACATTTGTAACAGTTTCTTCCCACAACAACGCCGCGTATCTTTTCAGTAATTTTAACTTAAATGTTTATGTTACGCGAGGCTGCTCATCAGTAAACAGCATAGCGTAGAAGCATGCTGTGCTGGTAAACGGTTGAGGTTTTCCGAATTAATTAGTTCGACCCTCACCTAAGTTCGCTCCTTCCACCGCATTGGTACGGGAACTCATATCCAGCTGAGAGTTTATCTTTTAAATGTTGACCAGCGGCTTTCCAGCATTTCAGAGCCGCACACAAGAAAAATGGTTTTCTTGTATCAGACAAGGACCTGATAAAGAACATTTTCACTCAGTCTTTCGAATTGAAATTAAAGAAAGTGAAAAAGAACTTCTTTAGGGTGATTGGCAACAACGAACTATTTTTGATGCTAGGTGACACCTATTCAGTCTTGCTTTGCTTTCCTCATTCTATTCTGTAAACTCTATTTATTTTTTGGTAACTTATCATCAACAATACTGGAAAAATGGAAGGAAGAGTCTTCAAACGAAGATAGACAGAAGGAGAGAAGACTTTTGCTTTATTAATTACCTTTTCATTGATTATGTATGTGTGTTAATCCCTTAAACTATTACAGGGACCAGAATCTGATATCTCCTTACAGTAACACTACTCCGAATCATTCATTAAGATGATAAGAATAAAGGAAATGATCGTCCATTGGTATGAAGCTGTGATCAAATCTTCCTTATCAGTACCATAGGATATGTATAGAGAACAGTATGGAGAACTTGCATACTGATGTTAGGGTGTAAAGACTTAACGGAGTCATCTCACGTACTGATATGATTGTGCAAAGTATTCAGAATAATCTATCCAGGGATTTTGTGGAATTCGAACTCGCGACTTTGACGATAACATCGCATTACTCTATACCGTGAAATCAATGAAACCATCAAGCTACGTATAACAGAACCCAGGCGGATCGATGAGGTTCTTATTTCCCATTAAACTAGAAAGATTTATTTCAACCAGCAGCATGGTTGCAAAGTTAACCGAGTTGAACTCCGCGACGGTAGAGACACTTTGACGCCTTTCAATTTCACTGGGGCTTCATAGATTGAGATTTCTTTTCAATAATTTTGTATCACAACATTCACTTCTTCGCCGGCTATATGGATGACTCTTAGTAGTGTTGGCAACTTGAGATATTTCGTTGGTATATTCTATTGTGAAAATTGTTCGCATACATTTAGAAATAAATGTCTTCAGGGCAAAATATTTCAACATTTCTCAATATTTAATTATTTGAATAGCTGGGAGAAACGGAAGCAATAAGTTCTCCCTTTAAAATCACTGCATAAACAGCTACTTAGCAAACTTCAATTTCGAAGTGAGCTTAGCGACAGCTTGTTTGTCATCATCCGATTTTATGTAGGCTTTAACACAGTTACTCCAATAGTTTGCCACTAAGCGAGATAGGGCAAATCGTGGGCAAAAATCTAATTTTCAACTTTTAATGACAATAAAGTAGCAATTATATTAGTGTGGGAAGATGGTGGCCCCATGATTAACGAACCGGACTCGGAAGGTGCTGGTCTAACTCCCGTTTGGGTTAGTACATTGTGTTCTAGAGTAAAATAGTTCACACTTGCAAAAATCTGATTTTCAACTTTTAATGACAATAAAGTAACAATTATATTAGTGTGGGAAGATGGGGGCCCCATGATTAACGAACTGGACTCGGAAGGTGCTGGTCTAACTCCTGTTTGGGTTATTACGTTGTGTTCTAGAGTAAAATAGTTCACACTTGCGAGATTGTAAGATTGTTTCCTGTTGAAAGGAAACTTTTGACGGAAAAATGACTCAAGATATAAATATATATATATATATATATATATATATATATATATATATATATATAT